CACAAGAACGTCGAATCTGAATCACTTGAAAAATATTTGGGGGTGCTTAACTTTTTTCCAGGTGTATATTTGTTAAAACCAGTGTTGTTTGTTCTTAAATGTAATGCTATACAATGGGTTTCTGTCCACCATGACTACTTAAGCTCAGTTCTTAGTGTTAGAAGTCTTGAGACTTACCTCTGAACAACTTAGGAACAAAAACATAATATACAGAAAACCTTGAACCTAAATTTATTTAAAAATAGTTACATCACAGAAAGCACACATAAACACTTTAAATACAAGAAAAAAATATTACAAGTTGACTTTCTTCCCAAGAATGTAGGTATATACCTTCTCTTTCTTACTAGTATTAGTTAACAAAATCAGTCTTATGAAATAAATACAATAAATTTATTTTCAGATCATACCTTGAAGGACAGTCCTGATGCCACTTAATTCGGTATATTGGACAAATATTTGACCATATTCAAGAATTGATCTTTCATCTAATATACCAAACATAGTTCTCCCTTTGTCTATTGGAATTTCTATGCGGGATTTTTCAATCAGATCCACTTCCAGAAGAAGAACAGATAAAAAAAAAAAGGCATAAAAGAATACAGCGCCATCTACAAATAACACGATCTAACTCTATGTAAAATGATATTTTTAACCTATTTAACTGGAGTTTATAAGAATATTGCAATCCTCATCTGCATGTCACTAGTTAAGAAAAATATACTTGATCTATATTTGAATTTACAAGATTATCAACTTTGACTTACATGATTTCAGTTTTGAAGTATGTTCTTTAAATACTTCCCTGAAGTTTACAAATGTAATAAGAATGTCTTTAAATAACATGTTTATAGTATACAAGTATGTTATTAATCTACATTTCTGAAATTAACAAGAATGTGAAAAATTATGTACAGAGCTTAAAACTATGTTGTAGATCTATGTGCTTAAAACTTATGATTATGTTTTTGATCTATATGAAATGATTACACAAAAACTTCCTTGATATATGCATCAATAATATATAAATGTTATCAATCTACATCTCTAGAGATTACAGCTATCTTATCCAACATGTCTTGAACTTCCAGAATATGTCTCAAGTTTACAAATTTGTTGTTGAAATGCATGTCTTTTGCTCTAGATATTTATAAAAGCTTGTGAGTTCTAGAAACACAGATCAATAATACATGGTATTTTAAATATCTCCTCAATAGGTCATCAGAACTTGACAGTACTATACAGTGTTTCCTTTTATAAAAATATCTATGTAATGATTGAGTCATAAGTTCTGGTGATGTCTGTGGGTATCATATCGAAAAGTTTGAATTTCTTGTTATTCTTTTTTGCCACTTCTTATTTATTATATGATAACTCAAAAACTATAATAATGGTGCACACCAATTTCATTGAGGTGATATAGTTTCGAATAGAGTATCTGCTTTTATGAGTATTATGAACTAGTAGTAATTTTAAAAAAATCATAATTCTAGTGTAAACGATGTTATTATTACCCCTTGAAGTTAAGTCTTATAAGAAAAATAAATAAATTTATTTAAAAGTTTAAGTACAGGGTGAAACAGGAATTACCAGCTAATAATAGATGCACATCATATGACTGTAACATGTAGAATACTCAATCATTACCCCTTGAAGTTAAGTTTTATAAGAAAAAAATAAATAAATTTTTATTTAAAAAGTTTAAGTACAGGGTGAAACAGGAATTACCAGCTAATAATAGATGCACATCATATGACTGTAACATGTAGAATACTCAATGCTTTGTACATATCAAAAAAAATCATAATTCTAGTGTAAACGATGTTATCATTACCCCTTGAAGTTAAGTCTTATAAGAAAAAATAAATAAATTTTTATTTAAAAAGTTTAAGTACAGGGTGAAACAGGAATTACCAGCTAATAATAGATGCACATCATATGACTGTAACATGTAGAATACTCAATGCTTTGTACATATACAATCAGCGCCTTTAGGAAGCCAATCCTTATATTATGTATGAAGTTAAAGAGTAAGAAAAATCAATACATATAATATAAAATTTATTACACACATTTATAGAATACACTAACTTTCAGTCGAAAAGTCGGGGGAGGGTACATCACAAAACAAGTAATAAAAACATTTTATAAATGTAAAATGATGTAGGGATGGCAGTGCCCAAAGGATGCAAACAAGAATATTGGGATGATATAACTATACATAGATCACCCATACATAACTTTCAATATTAAAATTTAATCTTACACTGTAAAGTGCATACTTGACTTGATTATTACTGCAGTCAGATGTTCTGTATTCTGACTGTTGGTATGCAGTTTGTTTATCATAATATCATGGTCATGTCAGGGTAGGCATCAATGTAGTGTAAGGAGTGTTACAAAATAAATCACACTTTTTTCCCCAAGAACATAACAAAGTAAAATACGATTTTAATTCAATCAAAAAACTTAATTACAAGTATCAATATCACTTGATTGGGCCACTACTGTTCTCACGCACGAGTTTTAATAGAGTGCAAAAGATTTCAGCAATGCAACAAACATGTTTGTGAGAACACGAATCAAGGTTTCACTTTGTGTCTCTCGCATTCAGGCAAAGTTTTCAATATTTCTTCTGTGCATAATTCTCAGAGCATGTCTGCAACTAAGTTCTGAGCCATCCTGAAGGCAGCACATGCGACACGAACCTGAGTTCTAGTGAGCATTGTGATTCAAAAATGTTTTGCAAAAAATGAAATTCTAAGAGCCAAACACCAAAGAGTGATGATATTCGTGGTCCTACCAAGTTTTTCATTACCTTGGGGGGGGGGGGTTTATTTTGCAACACCCCTTAACTAAAAGCTTAGGACTTAGGTACAAGGAAAATCAAGTTGAATCAAAACATGTCTTAATTATTACAGACTATTAACATTTAAAGTCATGTAGGGATGATTTATGTATAGCTATATTCTTGCTTGCATTCTTTTTGGCATTGCAATCTCTACATCATTTTACATATACAAAATGTATTTTATTACTTGTTTATAATTGTGTCCCCCTAGTCTTACCATTCTCACCACTAAATCTTAACCATCTCAATCAGATCCCCTCTAATTCTTTTTTCTTCAAAAGAAGACAATTTCAGAGATCTTAACCTACACTCATAAGACAGTCATTAAATCCCAGAATCATCCTAGTATTTCTCCTCTGAACCTTTTCTAACAATTGAATGTCCTTTCTACGGTAAAGGTCGTCTTGGTGGGACATAATTAAGTTTATTGACTTCACTAAGTTCAGGGTTTGATACCCTGCAGTGAACACAGCAGATAGCCCAATGTAGCATTGCTCTAAAACAAACTAAAGTAAGGAGCCTAAGATTGAACAAAGTACTCCATATGTTGTCTAACCAATGACCTAAACAACGACATGCATTATAAACTCTTTAGAATTCTATTCAGCATTTCTGTAGATACAACCTAAAATCCTATTTGCCCTACCACTAGCAACAGTACATTGCTGGGTTGGCTTACAAAACTGATCAATCACAACATCATGATTTTTTTTTCCCACAACACTGTTAAGGTTATTCCCATCAAAATCATACTTATAATTCAAATGATGATATTCCACCTACGTTTCCTTGCATTATTATAACTAAAAACCATCTTACATTTATTTGCCCAACTGACCAAATAATCCAAATCGTTTTGTAAAGCCACAAGCACAGTATCTTCCTCAAAGCCAGCAATACCCAAAACTGCTATATCATTGGTAGATTTAAATAACTTATTAACCAGTCCTTCATGTATGTCATTGGTCTTAATTAAAAATAACAGAGGTCCTAACAAGCCCAGAGGTTTCTCACTTGTGATATGAATCCAGTTTGACTGAACTCCATTTATAACACTCCTCCACTTCCATCCACACAAGTTTTCTATCCAACAAACTAGCCAATCACATACATTCATAGAGCTAGCTTTTTAAATAAGCATTATATGTGGCACCTGGTCAAATGCTTTCTTAAAATAGAGATATGTCAAATCCACACATATACCCTCATCAACATAAACACTAATCTCTTCAAAGAATGTTAGAAGATTAGTAAGGCAAGATTTTCCTCTAGTGAAACCATGCTGACTATCCTACAAAATTTTAAACTTCATTAAATGATTATTAAAAACATCTTTTAAAACCTTTACATAAATATTATCTGATCAAGGAGCTTTAAACTTCCCAGCCTTTTTCTTAAGAAGCTCAAAATTGATGTGATCATTTTGTTCAATTTAAAAACTACAGGATGAGGAACATTGCTTATATGTTATCAGTAAAAAGTGAAACAAAAAAGTAAACTTTATACCCCAGTTATCCAATAACATCAGGTATTAAGATTCATGTATCATCTTTCAATGAAGCTACTCTCATCCTAACATTCTGCTTACCCTTAATGTACTTGAAGAAATCCTTACTATTAAGTTTTACATTTTTTCAGCCAACCTTTTTCCATACAGGTTTGGTTTTCTAATATCCCATTTGACCAACTTTCTTGTTCTTTATTTCTCCAATTCGTCCATCAGTGCAGTCAATTAAAACTTGTATATTTATAATGCTTTTCTTTAATTTTATTCCTTATACCTTTTGTGAGCTAACCTAGTTTTTCATTTGCAGACACCCTTTTATTCAATAAGCAACGTGCCTATCTTTAATATTTAAGACTTTATTAAAAAAATGTTTTCCACATTTAATTAGTATCTTCAATTAACTCAACTGCCCAATTCACAGCAAATAATGCTTGTCTCATCCCCAGTTTATATTTAGAACCAAAATCTCATTATTCCTTGCCTCTATATGCAGCAACACATAAAAATTTAATCCAACTATTATCACTCGAACCCAGATGTTCCCAATCTACACTTTGTCAATCATTTCTAAATTAGAAGTTAACAATAAATTGAAAGTTATAATATTCAGTGCTGCCCTCTATATGTTAAAATGTTTTCCATGTTACAACCCTTGAACTCCCATGTACCCCTCAATCAATGTGTTTTATTTCATCTTGCATGTAAATCCTCATGTGATAACACTCCACCAACAGGAGTGCAACACACCCTCCTGACACATGCGACTCCCTCTGTTCGATTCTACTGAACTATCACTTCAAGATTTAGCAGAAAGGAAGCACCAGTTTTTAGTAGGGAGGAAGGGTGGGAAGTGTGAAAGGAAGTAAGTAAGTACCTATCGGAAATATATTTCAGTATAGGAAAATAATAACTTACGACACAATACCATACCTCCACTCACAGATATAGCTAGAATCCCACATTGAATAGGTGGAAGGACTGGTGCAAGGGATAGAAAGAAGTATCTTTTGAAAGTGTCTGAAGAACAACCATGAAGTGTGATCCCTGTTGGGAGAAGAACACATGTGGATAACTGCACCACTTCTGTACCAAGTATACTCTGCACCCAGTGGGAAAATAGGTGTCGCATACACAGGCAGAAAGTTGGAGGAGCACAACCAAAAGGGAGAGAAAAACCAGGTGGATTTGAATTTGAACAC